GATAGATAGATAGATAGATAGATAGATAGATAGATAGATAGATAGATAGATAGATAGATAGATAGATAGATAGATAGATAGATAGATAGATGAAATTGTATCTTTTTCTAGCAAAAGACACAATGAAGACTGATTATAAAGTTGATGCTAATATTTATCATCCAAATCCAAAGTCACAGCAGCAAGCAATGCACTGCAATCTGTTAAAAGGAAACGTTTTGTCAGGGTGTGTTACTTTGAGGGCTTAACGAGATACCCGTGCAAAAACAACTATCATCGTAATAACGAATATCAGGAGTCCAAGGGCAACCAGGACTGTGGAGGTGATGTTAAGCTGGCGAGCAGTGGCCCCATAATGCCGTGCACCCTCCAAATCTCCAACCACCTTCCGGTCTCTGGCCTAAAAGGACAGAAACATATAGATTGTAAAAGTGTAGTTGGAGACCATGCATATTAACTTGATCTATGTGGTAAAATCAATATAATGTAGGTCATAGTAAGTAGACAGGTAAATATTAATATATTTTTTCATGCACACACAGACACACAGAAGTATAACAGATGCTTAGTTCATGAAAAACCCGATTTATTTAACCTCACCTTGATAGAAGTGTGTGTGTATCAACAAGATCCTTATCAATATCTGATTAAAAGACCTGAATTCATTGAATTAAACATTTACAAGTACGATTTAAATTTTCTGTTTTACAAATATAATTTGCAAAACTCTCGTTCTCTTTGAAAGGAATCAATCATCTTCTTCTTCTGTCCTGGCTTTCTTGTATCCTTTTGCACTGAAAGATTTTTCCTTGGTAAATACATTAACTGTACATTTTCATTTAAAGCACTGAAAAGGTTCGTTTGGTGATATTTTTGAGCTGTTGAACTTAATTGCCCAGTAACCAAATATCACCAAACACCATTTTTCTCTATCTTTCCATTTTCTAACTAATTTTGTAGTTTGTAACGTCGTGAGTTTATAATTAATGTGATAATATCAAATGGACATTTTAGCAGTGGACCATTAGTAGTGATGTGCAATACCACTGATTTCCTTTCCAATCCGATACCAAGTAAAATTCAGGG